TATCGTTCCTTCTCTGCTTTTGAAAGCTTTTGCCCTCCTGTCATCTGTAGTGGTCCTTTCTCTACTGGCCCTAGGCAACTCATCCTCCTGTTTTTATTCCCACATCAACAGAAGACAAGGCAGAGACTTAGGACATCCCTCATAGCACTTTTTTTTTCGGTACTGGGTATTGAACTCAGGACCTTGCACTTGCCAGGCAGGTGCTTATTCTATTGAGCCATCTCCCTGGCCCTCTGTACAGTTTCTAATACTCTTTCTTATTTTCTTTCTTTTGTTTTTTTTAACTGTTTTATTCTCTTTCAAAAATGAAACAAAGAAAGATCACTTTCTATTTTTAATTAAAGGATCTTGCCTTGAGATAGCTCTGGGGCCTCCTGAGCAGAGAGCAGCTCCTCATAGCACTTTGGCTGAGGTGACATGTAAAGTCCTTCGGACAGTGCCGCCACATAGCAAGAGCACCTGTAAGTGTGCGCTACTTATCATCTTTTATATTATTGTCCTTAGACTACAACTAAGTTTTAAGACTAAAATGTATACGTTCTCCCCTAAAAATGTGCCTTGTTTACAATGAACACTTAAAGAATGTTGGTTGAATCCTAGTGAAAGAAGATAATGATTGTGAATTCATACTCAGTGTTATTGTACGCACTTCGTAAAACAAACACTTGTCTATAGTAACAACAAAACGAACAGGTACTCCAAGAACAGCTGTAGTGTGGGATTTCAAGGCTGAAAATCACAGTTCCAAAGGCACATCTCTCAGGGCTGCTCCATCTTATGATTAATACGCTTAAATACGTGATGCTACAAAACATACAGCTCAGACCTATGTGCCTGCACCACAGGAGAAATAGGCCAGGGCCACTACGTGTAACGGAACTAGTAGTGACAAGCTCTTTGGGTTTTGTTTTATTTTATTAACCAACTGTTTTAACTTTATTTTCTATTAATACATATTTGTCATACCTGTTGATCATATTCATCATAAGGAATTTGTACCTGTACATAATAGGTTTTAATTTTTTTCCTATTCTTCTCCCCTCCTTTCAACTCTTATTCCCTCCCCATTTACAAAGCTTTGTTTCCACTTTTTCCTTCTAGTCTCTTTCCTTTTCCCTTCCTTTCCTCCCTCGTCCCTTATTGCCCTTCCCATCTGAACATGTTCTTCCAATTTCCCCTATATCCAACCCTATTATGCTCCTCCTTTACCCTTTGGGTTTCTCACACAAGACAAACAATGGTTTTTTTATTTGTTTGTTTGTTTTTGTATTTTAGGGAAGGGTCTGCAGGGTGTTCAGGGTCTCACTACTAAGATCAGACATGTAGTGATCTGCCTGTTGACAGCCTCCTAAAAGCTGGGATTACAGGCATGTGCCACCACATCCAGTCTCAATGGCAGTTTCAGCATGCCCTGGGGGCAGGGCCAGGATGGCAGGCCTGGGGATCAAACGTCGGGCCCCTCTACCTGCTTGCAGGAACTTTACTCTGCTGAGCTATTTGGCCAGTCCTTATCCATTCATCTTTTGATGAGCATCTGGACTATTTCTAAGATTTAGCTATCACAAACTGTACCACTCTAAATGTGGTGGGCATATATTGCCATGCTACCACGCTTTCACTTCTTTTTGAAAGAGACCCAGAAGGGGAATAGCTGGGTCAAATGCAACCTCTCGTCTTCCTTTGTTGAGGCATCTCCACATGGACTGCCATAGCAATTGCACCACTTTGCACTCCCACTAACAGCGGAGAAGGTTTCTTCTATCCCATAGCCTTACTAGAATTTGTTATTGGTTCTTTTCTTGATGATAGCCATTCTTTCTGGGGTGAGATGGAATCTCAGCGCTGTTTTAATTTGCATTTTTTGAATGACCGGTGATGTTGAATATTCTTTCATATACATCTGTTTTGGAGAGTGGGTACCAGGAATTAAACTCAGGACTTTCCCTTGCCAGGCAGGCACTTGTTCCATGGAAATATATTCCCGGTCCCAATCCCCCCCTTTTTTTTTCATATATTTGCTTGCTGTTTCTATTTCTTAATCTTAGAAATGTCTATTCATTTCAGCTGTTCATTTTTGGGTTGAGTCTTTAAATGTGGGAGAGTCTGATTTTTTATTTTAAATACATTCTAGATGTTAGTCCTTTGTATGAGGAGTAACTGCTAAAAATTTTTTCCATATGTGGGTTGTCTCTTTACTCTGCTGGTGGCTTCTTTTGCTATACAGCAGCTTTTTAATTTTATATGATCCCAAATGTTGCTTATCTGTAGTACTGTCAGTGATCAGGGCTTTGTTCCTAAAGTCTTGGCCTACAGACTTTCACTTATTCTAGTTTCTGGCAGGTTAAGTGCTCCTGTCTGAACATTTAGATCTTTGATCCACTTCAATTTTAGTTTGTTTCATGGTAAGACACCTGGGCCTCGGTTCAATTTTCAGCATGTGGAAAGCCAATTGTCCCAGCCCCACTTACGAAAGCAGCTATCTCTCTTCCAGTTAGATTGAGTCCTGAGGTGTTTGGCCCCTTGTTCAAACAGAAGGTACCTGAATGTGCTTGGAGTTGTTTCTGCATCTTCTGTTCCGATCCACTGATCCTCAGGTTTTTCATTTTCTTAAATTTTTGCCAGTACCATGATGCTTTTATCCCAGTACCTTTACAGTATAATTTCAAGTTGGGGATAGTGATACACCCTGATTTGCCTTCACTGCCCAAAATTGCTTTTGCTATTCTAGGTCTCTTCTGGTTTCAAATGAATTTTAGGGATGTTTTCCCTAGTTCTGTGAGATATTCTATTGGTATGTTTACCTGGATTGCATTAAATCTATATAACAGTTTTGGAAGTATGGCCACTCTCTCTATATTGGATCTGCCTACACAAGACCAAAGGGTCGACTTCCACTTTCTGACACACTCTTTAATTTCCTTCCCCAGAGTACTTTAGTTTGCGGTGTAAAGGTCTTCTACTTCCTTCATTAGATTGAGTCCTAAGAATTTCATTTTCCTTAATGCTATTTTTAAAGATATATCTCCCTAATTTTTCCTTCACTGAGCTTGTTTTTGTGTATAGGAAAGCTATTGATTTTTGAGGGTTGACTTTGTATCTTGTTATGCTACTGAATTTGGTTATTAAATCAAGAAGCCACGTTGGTGGAGTTTTGGGATCTTATATGTAGAGTTTCATGCCATTAACATATAGATAATTTCACTTCTTCCTTTCCTATTCTTATTCCTTTTATTTCTCTCTCTTGTCTAATAGCTAATATTTCCAGAACTATATTGAATAGGAGTAGTGGGGCATCTTTGTCTTTTTTCTGACTTCAGAATTAAAGCTTGCTGGTTTTGACCATTTAGTATGGTGTTGGTTGTTGATTTGTTATGGATAGCTCTTATCAAATTGAGATAAAGACCATCTATTCAATTTTCTGTAGGATTTTTTTTTATCATGAATTAGTGTTGGACTTTGATATGTTCTTTGTGGATTTATTTTTTCTTTCTTTTTTGTTTTGCTTGTTTGTTTGTTTGGTACTGGGGTATCAAGCTAGAACCTGACGCATGTTATAAGGAGAACATTCCACCTGTGACCTATGGCCCAGTGCGTTATTTTTTATTTTAAGACAGAGTCTTCCTAAGTCGTCCAGGCTGATTTTCTGCCTTATCCTCCTAAATAGGTAGCATTAAGGGCATGTGCCGCTACACCTGGGCAGAGCATTTTTATTGCATGCAGGAAATTGGTAGATGTAACAAAGGAAGCCTGATCATACACTCTCCTTCCCATGGAGGCCTGTCGGAAAGTTGTCCATCTCTCTAGCATACAACACAAACTTTTGCCTTGAATTTCAGTCTTAGTGACAATTTCTGTGAACTGTGAATTTCTTGAGGACAGGCTCCACATTGTGTGTCTTCAGATTGCCAGTACTTATCAGAACACAGCACTCAAAAAGACATTAACTGGAGCTAGGATGTCACCGAAATCTTTATTTTACCTTGCATGTTAAATCAGTAGAAGTATTTCCATGTATATATCAAAAATCAAGACACTGTCTGAAACACAATCAGACAACTAAAAAAATATTTGAAATCTACTGTCAGAATATTTTGAACAAATGAAAGTCATCCATGTGCTGGTTATGTTATGCATTCCTTCCTTCCTCTCTGTCTCGTCTGAGCAGGTGCTTTAGACCACTGAGCTATCTCACTGGGCCCCAGAATTTATTTTTTATTTTGCTTTATTTCTGCGTGTGTGTGTGTGTGTGTGTGTGTGGCCTTCTCAGCCCACCCTGAGGGCGGGGCTGGCACAGCATGTGGCGCCAGGAAATGAACCATGGTCCCTGTGCTTGCCTAAGCTTGCCTAATCAGGTGCTTGCTTCCTCTCTGTCTTAATCCACTTGTTTATTCACTTATCTGTCCCTTATCAATCCATGTACCCATCTTTTGTCATTCAAAATATACTACTACCTCATAGCTTCAAAAATAGAGGAAAATCATGATGCTTTGGACTTACGAAAATAATTATGACAAGTATGACCTTTTTGCTGTTAGTATAGGATTTTTGTGGTACCTATACTATAATGTATTATTTAAACAAGTGAACATATTTAAAAATCTTTACATAAATTTAAGAAAAAACATAAATCAAATTTTTCTCCTCAAACAAATATCAGAGAAAACAATCTACTTTCTTTATTCTATTTTCTTTTCTTTCTACCACCTGGAAGTCTCTGAGGAAAAGAGAAATGTAAAGCATCACCATTTATAACAAAACTTGGTCTTCAATGTTGTTTCACTGAAATTGATTCAACATCTATTAACACAGATGTTAAAAAGAATCAAACTTCTTCTGTTGTGAAATAAAAAATGAAAAACTTCTTTTCTAAAGAAATGAATAAACCTTTATATTGCATGTTTATTGTGAAATAAATAGAACATTTAATATGAAGTCAAATGCTACAATGCTCATGTGAATTATGATTGTAGATCTTCCATTAAAAATATTTTTAACGCGTCTGCAGTCCGTTGGCGTGCTGTGGGTTTTCTGTTGAGGGCCTGGAACCATGCTCCTCACCGCGGTCCTCCGCCGCGGGCGCATCCCAGGCCGGCAGTGGATCGGGAAGCACCGGCGGCGGCCGCGGTACGTTTCCGAGCAGGCGGCGAAGCAGAACATGATCCGCCGCCTGGAGATAGAGGCGGAGAACCAGTACTGGCTGAGCATGCCGTACATGAGCGCCGAGCAGGAGTATGGCCACGCCGCCGAGCGCAGGGCGCGGGCCTTCGAGGCCATCAAGGCGGCCCGCGCGGCCAAGTTCCCCCCGCACAGGTTCGCCGCGGACCAGCTGGACCATCTCAACGTCACCAGGAAGTGGTCCTGACCCCGAACCTTGCCCTTCGACCGGAGAGACACCTGGCCCAGGAGCTGAAAATCTCAACTTCATAAAATGATATCGGGAGTTTCCTGGAGTCAAAGGACACGAAAGGTATCTTGAAGGTTGCAATAAACCTGATTCCGGGACTTTGGTTTAAGCATGAGTCCTTGATGGAAGCTTTGTCGTGCAGTAGTACTTTACAGAACTAGTTGTCTAAATTTACATAGAAATACAAGTTTTTCCAGCTCAACATACTATTAAAATAGCATTTCCTTCTGAGGTCTGACTCCTGCAGTGGACATTTAAGTGAAATAAAGTTATGTATTGGAATTGAAAAAAAAAATATTTTTAATAAAACAATCCCATAAATTCTCAATATATAATTGAGTAAGTCACTAGCAAATATGTTGTAATGCATACAGAATATTGTTAGAATGATTCCATTGTGTCCTTTCATTAGTTTAATGTGATCATATCATTTTAAAAATATTATTTTGCCTGAGATTTTGGTCTCTATTATTATAATTATTTTTTTATTATGATGATGAATTAAATATTCACCAGAATTCTCTTAAATAACTGAGTAGCTAATTTAAATTTTTCTTTCTTTTCAGGGACTGGGGATCAAACTCGAGACCTTGTGCTTGCCAGGCAGGTGCTACACTGCTAAGCTAAGCCCCCAACACCCAACATTTCAAGGTTGGAAAGAATCCGTGAGAAGCCACTATGTCCATCCCTCTGTGCTTGTTTGTTTTTTCTTTTTGTACTTGGAATTGAACTTAGGATCTCACACCTGCCAGGCAGGTGTCCTGCCACAGAGTTATATCCCTGGCCCCCAAATTTTTCTTTTTCTTTCTTTTTAATTTATATATTTGGCTCAGGGTCTCACTACACAGCCCAGACTCATAGTGATCCTCCTGTTTCCAGCCTCTCTGGTGTTGGGATCACAGACATAGGCCACCATGCCCGGTCTTGGTGCCCAGCTCAGCATGCCGGGGAAGGGCTGGTGTGGCATGTGGTGCTGGGGATCAAAGCCAGTCCCTGCGCTTACCTAAGTAGGCACTTAGTCTGCTGAGCTATCTCGCAGACCCCCAAATTTTTCAATATATCTGCATTCTTTGACCATAGAGATTATGCTCAAGATAATACAGTAAAGTCTACTAACAGGTTTACTATGACTAACGTCATAGCCTGAGAAACAGGCATTATGTTAATGAAAAGTAAACATAAAATCAGAACTGTGCAGCCAGCTATCTGGGTACGTATTCCTGAAACAAGAATAGATTGCATTACTGATTACTGATTCTCCTACCCCTCTTTTCTGCTTTGCTTTTTCCCAAATGGATACACATTTTCTTCCCAATAATAAGATGTGCCTCCTTCTCCAGGATGGAGATTTATTTCCCTAATGGATAAAAAGAAAGAACTCTTTCTTTGCCAGCCAGCCATAATTTATCTTCTCAACTTTATCCTTCAAGTCAGGGACTGACGTAAGAGGGAGTTGGATGGCACTGAATATATTTTGAGAGCTCTAGACATAGATTCCTTTAACTTGAGCCATCAGAGGGACCAGAAACTCCAGTTTCCAGCAGTCTTGGAGGATGTCATTCACCATGATAGCAAAATTCACTGCTCAAACAGTGTTGAGGATAACCTCAGACTTAGGAGCACCAATGAGCAGTTAAAATGTTTAGTGCACAGGAGCTGCCTTAACTCCACTGCTGAGATCTAAATAACAGGCTAGGTTTTTTACTATTAAAGGAAATAATGTAACAGCCAACCATGTTAAATCTCACATCACTTACAAGGTGAGAAATATTCCCATCTAGTTTTGTATAATTTTAGGTCACATATGTTTACTTCTTTTTCAATAGACTTTTTAATTTGCTGCCCAGGCTGAATAATTTTATGTACACTGTATTTTGCATTTTCCTGACAGTTTATCTTGGCATAAAGACAGCCATCTTGCCATTACGAAGTTTCATTAAAAGGTTTTCACTTCCATCAATTTTAGCTTCTTAATTTGATCTTTAACCTGACTTTCATAGGCTTATAGAAACCTAAGCTTTCTGCCATTTACAAAATTTGACTGAACTTCATACCTTTGAAGATGAAGATTTAAATATAAATTCTGGAGCTAGGTATGGTGGTGCATGCCTGTAGTCCCAGTATTTAGGAGGCCGAGGCAGAAGGACTGCTGGGAGTTCAAGGCCAGCCTGAACTGGACAGTGAAAAATAGACATATAAGTAAATAGATAAATTCTGGTGGAAGACCTGCCTCCAGAGGTATGCCCGGGGTATCAACGTTAACACCTCTTCCAGAACCTTCCCATCTATAAAGGTGAAAACAGGATCGGCCCATTAAAATTTCTCAGTAGGAACCTCAAATGCAGTGTCAGTCACAAAATATTCCCTGTGGTCTGATATCAGTTTCTTGCTGTTAGATTCTTCGAAATAAGTCATTTTTTAGTGATTAAACTTCATCGACTTTCTGTGGAGGAATTGGGACCAATGGACAAGGACTCACCGTTTTCAAACTTTATTATTATGAGAGAAGGACACCATAAAAAAACAATGCACAGAGGAGTGTAAACAGTTCAGAGGGGAGAAGAGGGGTCTTAATTCAGATTCAATTCTGTACTAGAAAGCAGCAAGCTTTGAGAAACATCCCTTATAGTGTGCGTGTATGGGGGTGCACCTGCTTATGTTTCTATCTAAATATGAGTTCCTCAAAATTACCAACGTTGCCTCGTCTCCCTGTGTATCTACAGTTTCCAGCAGCACCTTGTGTCAACTGGGTGCTCCATAAATAACTAAATGAACGACATTTTCATTCACTTTTTACATTATTGAAAAATCTTATCTTTAGATCACAATTTAAGAACTGGTACAGCAGTATGTCTAAGAGTTTTAGTTTCTTTGGTTTAAGTACTTTGTGTGTGTGTGTGTGTGTGTGTGTGTGCGCGTGTGTGTGGTACCAGGGATCTAATTTGGGACCTTGTGCATGCCAGGTAGGTGCTTATGCTGCTGAACTATCTCCTCAGCCCTAGTTGATTTGGTTTAAATTGTTCTCTAACATAATGATTAAATCTCACGATTTTATCCCTAGAGATACTAATAAGTACGTTGAGTCCAACTGCCATTTCAGTTTTACACTCAGAAATACATGGGTCTATAAAATACCTTAGAAAGCAGTATGTCCTTACATTGATGTACAAATTTTACACAACAATGAAGCAAAAAGATAATGCCTAGCACTTATATGTAAAGGCTTCTTTTTTAGTATTATTATCAAGCTAAAACACCAGAGAATGCTTTCTTACTACCATTCTCCAATATCTAGCTCTGGCTTTAGTCTATCTCTGGCTTGAAGCATTGTGATTTAAACCAGAGCCAGATAAAAACCAAATAAGTGGGCTATGAATTCCACCCACCCCCAGAATGATCCAGACAGGAAATTCCTATTGCCCATGGCTCAATCTAGCCTTGCTAAGGAAAGAAACATCTGGGTGGAGACATTTTTATTCAAATAAATTCCTAAGGATGATGTTCAGGAGATGTCCTGAACGAGGAAGTATGTCCACCTATCTGGAAAAGATCCAAGTTCTGCGTCACTTATAATGAACCAATGCTCAGTCTTCCATAGATGAAAGAGCTAGCAGCTCCTACCTGTTCTCCCTCCTCTTCAGATCTCCCTATGTAGCTTTGGACGTAACATCCTCCTCTGTGGATTCTTATTCTTTGTAAATGCCACGTTACACGATCTCTTTCTTCAACCCCCTTCTCTGCTGATTATACTTTAATTTGTTATTCAAAAATAATTCAGAACCCAGAAATAAGGAAATATGTTAATTTGTGACTGGCAGGAAATTATCACAGAAAGAAAGGGTAAAATTGAGCCAATATCCTAGTGAATCCCATTTTAGGATTAGTAGGAAAACCAACCAGGAAAAAACAAACAAACAAAACACCCTTATTATCTGAGGAAATAAACAGAGTTAAGAACCTACATACATTCATTCACTCACTTCATGACTTCTGTTGAGAATCTATTACACACTGTCATCTGCTAAGTTCTATGATAAAAGCAGGAATGAGACCTGGCCCTGAAATTGCTCACATTGAACAAGTTATGCTGCTTGTTATGAAACACATGCTTGCAAATATTCTTTGGAAAAGTTGGTTCTAAGTATCGCCAAGTCTGCCTCATACTCAGACGATACGAGGCAAGATACTGGAAGAACTGTTTGGGATGCAGGAGATATGGGAATCCAAGTAGACTCTGATCATTGGCGGAATGCTGTTACCTAAGGTTAGAGAGAGGATATAATTTCGTGTAGAATCCGTCCCAGCCATATTGCCTTGCATTCACCAGGTGGTAGGTATGTATATAGAGTGACTCCACTTTAGGACAGTTTTAGCTGAGGGAATCAAGGAGAAGGAGCAAAAATTATTGGCTTGGAAACAAACAAGCAGAGGTCCATGTCCACACAATTTGGTCGGTCTAGGACCAATAGTAATATTTTTATTGATGTTTCTTGCAAAATGAGTCCAGACTCTATCAAAGAATAATTTGATAGATAAGAGAAAGACAAACAATCCTTGACCTCTGTGCTTGGTGATTAATTCTACTTTAGGTGTTTGTTGCCTGTCCTTTCTAACTAGATTGTAAATTCTATGAGGCCAGAAGTTTGTCTGTCCTGTTTGTTGTCGTTTTGCAAACAACACATAGGATAGTGTCTGCACATAAACAGGTGCTCAGTAAGTAGCTTTATGTGGCTTGAACAACAGTAATAGACTGTGATAAGTGCTGTATTAGCAGTGTGCACTGTGGCAGAATTGCCTGTGCCTTGGAGACTGAGGTAAGTATTCAGAAAAGGTGCCATTTCAGCTTGCAGAGTGAGTTACCACTTCAAGAACTGGCATAGAGAGAGGGATACTCCACAGTAGAACACATCAACAGGGATATTACAAAAACATATATGGCAAATAATTTAAAGTTTAATATTTTGAAAGTTAACACCAGGGCCGAGCTCAGTGGACTCAATGCCTGCCTGGCAAGCACAGGGACCGGATTCCTTTCCTGTCACCACATGCTATGCCGCCCTTCCCCTGGGTGAGCTGAGCCAGCCACCCAGACCAGGAGTGGTGGCACAAGCCTGTAATCCCAGTGCTGGAGAGGCTGAAAACAGGAGGATCAACAGAAGTACGATCTATGTAGTGAGACCCTGTAGACGCTGTACTAAATACACAAAACAAGAAAAAAACGGAAAGTTAATACCATAATCCGTGGGCGGTAAAAGTGTATTTCCTCTTGTTACAATGATGTATTACCTAAATTACCACTGGAGGACTCAAGTTAAATTACTTTTAAAAGATTGCAGATTTTGGCCACATGGAAAAAAGCTGTCGTTTATGAATCTAATGAGAAAGTTCTCCCTGCCCCTACTTGGACTAGCTTTTTCCAAGTCATGAAAGTATGAAGAAACTTGAGAGTCAAAAAGCATGTAAATGGTGGTCAGTGCCCTTAGGGAGGATTTTTGGTTTTATTTTGTTTTGCTCTTCCTGAGACAGGGTCCATCTAGTTCAGGCTAGCCTTGAACACTGTGTAGTCAAAGCTGGGCCTCAACTCATGGTGATCTTCCTGCCTTAGCCTCCCAAGTGCTGGGATTACAGGCATACACCACCACGCCAGGCCAGCTAATGCTTTTATAATGGTAAAAACACAGCAACATTATGGCTTTGAAGTTACTTAACATGAAAGGGCAACACAATAAAGGCTCACTATTTAGGTATTATTACTAACTCAACCTTTCATAAAAACAATAGTGGAGGTGGAACCACAGAAGCTTGAATTCAACGAACACCTACTATGTGACAGGTGCATGCTACCAGGACTGCTCTTGGTTACAACTGGTACAAAGTACCTTCCTTCTTGAGGAGACGCAGGTGCAGGAGGGCTAAATAACCTGAAATCAATGTCAACTTCAGACCCTGACCTCTTTCCTCAACCCTATACTGCCTCTAATGTAGGAAGCTTTTTTGGTTAGCTATGAAGACATTCTTCATCATACAAGAAATCCACCACGAAGACAGTCACAGGCCTCGCAGTCAGTCCCCAACCTTCACTCCAAGAACAGCAGGGCAACTCGGGGCCAGTCTCTTGCTTGCTCTGAAAGGACAGCAAAGGCTGCCCAAAAGCGCCTCAGACGGACCCCAGCATCTGTAATTCATCCCATTATAATTAACCCAGGTTGAGGTACTCTTTCGGCAGCACTGGTTGAGTCGCAGGTATGGACCTGGGAGGGTTGACAAGGTCCCTCCGTGACACCTAATTAAACAGCTGGCTCTTTGACAACTGGACCCGAGCAGCCCAGGGGCCAGGAGAGGAAGAGACTGCCTGGCAGGTCTCTGGGCCCAGGAAAGAGGCAAGGGTGGGGTGGCTAGGCTGGGGGTGTTGCTCTTGGTAGATGAGATGGCAAGGTTGAAGCTGAACTAAATGCAAACTCCAGACTTTGGGGAAATTTTCTGGGGAGGGCCCCGACTCTAAAGGCACCCCACCATCTCCCAGACGGGCGCCCCCGAGGGCGGGGTTGGGGTCAACCTGGCGCAGTTAACCAGGCCCCCCCAGCCAGCTCCCTGCCACGGCCCACCGCGGCCAGGTCCGCAGATTTAACCCTTTCCCTGCGGAACCTTGCGGGCTTGGAGCCTCGCTCGCTCTCCCCGCCCCCACCCCCGCACCGCGCCCGCGCCCGCACCCGCGCCCGCGCCTGGGGCCGCTGGACTGGGCATGCGCAGTCGCCGCCGCCGCGCTCCCCGGGAAACCTCCGCGCGCCTGCCTGTCCGCTCCCCGTCGCCTCCGCGCAGCCAGCCGCCCAGGGTGCACCCCAGCAGCTGCCCGGCGGGACGCAGATTCCCGGAGGACCCACCTCGCCGACCGCCGCCGCCCAGCGCGTGGCCCGAGCGTGCGCGGAACCGGGATGGAGACCGCGCTGCTGCGAGTCCAGAGCTGCTGACCCGCGCCACCCGCGCCGCCCGCGCCAGGTGAGGGCGACCCCGGGGAGCCAAGCGGCGAGGCCGATGCCCGGGGGAGGGGGAAGGGGGCGGCGGGGACGTGGGCGCGCGCTGCGCTGTCAGGGTGCTGCAGAGGCGCGAGGGGCTGGGGCCGAGGGCGGCGCGGGGGCAAGTGCGCTTCACCTGGGCGCCCGGGCTCTGGGGTCCCGGCCACGCCGCCCTCCCCGACGTGAGCTCCCGGGAAGCTACAGGTCGGCGCGGGGAGCTGGTGCAGCGCGGCCTGGGACCAGGGCGCCTGGCGACTGGAGAACGCCGTGCGGGAAGGGATTCCGAGCCGAGGCCAGCGCAGGTGCGGGTGCAGGTGCGGGGCCAGGGCTGCCTGGCTGGCGCACGGGGACGGGTCAGGTCCCAAAAGACCTTCCCTGCGGTCCCCAGCGCGGTGCGGCGTCCGAATTGGGGGCCGCCGCGCTTCCACGCCGGAGGGGCGGGCTGGGGAGTGAGGCTGGCGCCTCCTGCAGCTGCTGGGACGCTGCGAACTTGGAGGGAGAGTGGGGAGCGACGACCGCGCTGGCCAGAGCAGAACCGTGGCGGGTGGTGGGCTGAGCAGTTCGTCCAAGTGGCTTTTACCCCCTCAACTGTGGGCGTTAGCTTCTACGCACAGTGTTTCTGCTCAGCCTCTTAAGTGGCGAGTCCGGTAACACACCTTATGAATATTTCAGAAACGACCTCAAAGACTCCCTTGCTTCGGATCAAGTTTAGTGAATGTGTTTGTCAGCCTTATCTACTCTACACAAGTAGGTGGAAGCACCAACCCCGGTCTTGAGCTTTCCAAATTTCACCCTTTCCTCCACCAATAGGAAAAAGACATTGCTAACCCCACTGAGCATTCAGCTGGTACCATAAATTGACTGTCATTTTGAGAGACCGATTTTTGGGCAGGCATCCAGGCATTGTTCTGCATCTCTGCAGTATATGCGTGTTGTGTCGGTCACTTGACAAGCATTCTAGTGCTGCCAATATGCTGGAAAGCAGGTAGTGTCCTTACATTTGGATAAATGTCTTAAACAATTCGCTTCTTATGGTGACATGTAGTTATAACAGCCTTAGTCATTTTTTCCCTCGAAGTTCTCTCTGAGGTCAGTCTAGTTGAAATGTTTGCAAATGCAAATGCTTGTATCCCGGTCCATTGGGAGGTATTTTTCTCTCCTTAATGTCTTTCATTAGAATAAGAAATGAACGCCTTCTCTGCAAGACATGGGGGAGGAAGAGCCCAATATTGTAGGAAACTTTTAGGATTGGAACAGGCTCAGGCATCTGTCCTTCCACTTTGGTTCGTAATTCCCATGGCTCCACCACTGTTAATCTGTAAATGGGCGCACACGCAGGAGTCAGCACTCTGACAGGATACCCCTTTTCAGAGGTCTGCCTCCTCCCCTTTTGGTGAGACAGGTGTGGAATCTAAGAGATCTGTGAAGAATTCATTTGTTGACCAAAATTTCAAGCCTGCCCTCACAGGAGGATGGAGGAAGCAACTCTTTTCTCTTGCCAGCCTGTGCATAGTTGAAGCTGAAGAGCCTTAGTGTACCCGTGTTTCACGTTTGGGGAAGGCTCCTCCAACAAAGACCTACTGCAGTTACATCATAGGCTCCTCCTCCGCATGCCAGGCTGTTTCTCCCAGTCTGTTAGTGAGGAGACTGCATATTGCCGTGCTTGGGGGATGAAGAAAAGAATACCAAATGGGAGATTGACTTCTTTTCCTTAGTGGGTCTTGTCCATTTAATTGAAAATGGGAAAGTTTCAGAAATTGTTAATTATTATGTAAAGCCAAGACTTAATTCAACCATGTTAATAACTCTGGCGAATATCAGCTTTTCCAGTGATTTGGAGCCAAGATCTCAGTACCCTTTGTACTAAAATTATTGATGGATGGTAGTAGGAAGGAAGTCTGTGAAATTAGCAAAGTGAAAATGTTACATAATGAAGAGCATTTCCTGAAGCATGTTACTGAGCTGCTCAGAAATAAACCTTGCTGCACTAGCAGGCATAAGCTCTGGCTAATTGAGAAATTTGCAGAGCTCAGATACAAACCTCCAGGTGCTGTAGGGAAGCTCCCCTGAAGCCTCTGAAGATTGTTTTTTTAAAGTCACTACTAGAGTTGCCAGATTTAGCATATAAAGATGCAGCTGCCCAGTTAAATCTGAATGTCAGATAAATAATGAACATTGTTTTTAATTTAAATATGTCCCACACAATATTTGAGACATATTTTGCTAACATATTTTTTACTAGTTGATCTGAAATTCAGTTAAGACTGAGCTGCTTGTGTGTGTGTGTGTGTGTGTGTGTGTGTGTTTCTTGGCAGTCCTAGTTAATGGAAATGTTTCATCTCTCCTTTTTGGGTCACTTGTGAGTTGAAAACAAAGTGGATCAGAAATCATATGCCATTCTGCAGACAATCTGGGGCAAGCTCAGTTGGGTTTAAGCTGTTCAAAATAAAGCATGCTTAAAAGTGAGTAGCTTCAATTCAGTCCGTATTAGCTGAATACTTTTGCTTGCTGGGCTTTGTGGGAGGTACCAAGATGAGAAGGGGTGTGTGTGTGTGTGTGTTACAGCATAAGTTCTAAATGTATTACACCAGAGTATGAGCTGGGAGGGGAGTGCAGGGGATCCTGTGAGGGCAGAGGAGAAGCCCTGACTCTGCTGGACAGTTCCTGTGGGCTTGAGGTGCCCAGAAATTCCCCTGGGCTGAACTCCAATAAGATGTGGGAACTTACCCCTGCGAGAAAGGAATAAAGAAAGCCTCAGGTTTCTAGGTAAAGGAGGGCACCAGGAAGTTGAAGATATTTTACCTGAAGGCCCCATAAGACAGCGTGGCACGCTGAGAATGACAGAAGTGAGAGAGGGAATCTAGAAGAGAGATTCTAAATAGCTGATAGGAAGGGAAGAGGAGGATCAAAGGGACAAGCATGGGGACTGGCAAATGGTACTGGGATGATGGCATATTGTTTGCTTTTTGAAACGCAATTGATTCCTTTTAACCAATACCCTGAGTGCCCTCAGTATTCCACCACCGCTGTAGTTACCTGGGATAAAAAATAATCACACACAATATCTATCTATCTATCTATCTATCTATCTATCTATAATTTTAAAGTTTGGTTACTTTTAGATAAATAAAAGTAGATATCTAAATGTGATGTTTGAGATGCTGATCAACGTTCAGCTGTTTCTGGCACAAATTCCTCAAATAAAGATATTTTGGCTTTTGGCAAATCGGTTGCTCTAAGTAGGAAACGACTTTAAATTGCTATGATCTTCTGATTTGGCTGAGCTATCTTTAAGGAAGCAGATTCTGATGAGGGAAAGAATGCACGTTTTGCATAAAAGGAGCTCTGTGAAAATGGCCATATGCTTGTAGTATCAGAAAGTACCTAGAATGCTCTCAGCGCCTTTAGCTGCAAAGCACTACCGCACCATGTACATTTGTGTCAGTAAAGACCCAGCAAATACTGTCGCTGTTGATCAGCAGGGAAGCTGAAGATCAGCCCAATGCTGTCAGTACAGAGAACACTGCAAAACTCCAACAGCCGCTAATAGAATATCATCCTAGATTGAGTGCTGTCAACAAACCTAGATATCTTAGGGACCATCTTTCAGAAGTGCGTCTTATGTTTGAATAGTCACCTGTGTAGTTCAATTTCCATTTCAGATTTGACAGTTCCTCATATTGTAGGACTTATCTCATGCAAAAATATATAATGAAGTAGTTTATTAGTCTCTCTTTTAACTAGTTATCCTTTAAAGCAGTTCTATTTTTAAATATTTATATTATTCTTCAGAGCAATAGTTCTGCCAAACATGTCTTGCTTAATAATTTTGATAGTTTATGAGAAAGAAGTGATCAAGAATATATTGAAGTTGCTAAAACCTCAAGGTGATGAGATCTTAGGTTTTATTGTCAGTAAGGTTTCATATCAACATGGTTTATTTTTTTCTTATCTTTCATCTGTTTGGTACGAGGTCTCACTCTGAAGCTCAGACTCATAGTGATCCTCCTGTTTCAGCCTCCCCAGTGCTGAGATTACAGACATGTACCACCATACCCGGTTTTGGTGGCCGGCATGGCCTCTGGTACTGGGAATCGAACCTGGGTCTTTGAGCTTGCCAGGCAGGTGCATAGACCGCCAAGCTATCTCTCCAGCCCAGCATGGCTTGATAAAGACATGGCTTACTGTGGTGATGTTGAACAGCTAATGCGGACTGTTGCGCAGAGAGAACCTCAAATTAATCTCTGTGCTCAATTCACATTGTAAGTCCTTAGTAAATACTCTGAATTTAAATATTATGAGGACATTATTGTTCTTGCATACTAAGAATCTGTACTTTTCTAGCTCACTTAAACTAACCATAGACAAGGCATATCATATTTTATATTCATTTCCATACTATAAAACAGGAGACATGTATGCTAAAAAAATTATGACATTATGCCAACCTCAATCTCTATGTGTATAAAATAAATCTAAAACATTGCTACAGTTCTAAGAAATGACTAGCTTTATTCTCAATACAATTAGACAAGTCATAAAAGTTGTGTGTTTCATATATAATTGAAATAATTTATAGGTTCATCTTTTTTGCATTTTTGGTGCAAAGCATGGTGATTGTTATAAACGCCTAAGGAGAGCTCATGAAACTGCTTCCAAACATCAGGCTTGAACAAGCTCATGGCTGCACAAAGTTCTTTCCATAGTTTTTAAACATAGTTTCCATTTTAATTGTTGAGATTAGCACTTGATTAATTAAAATGCTTAGCATAAGAATTTATTTCAGCTACTATAACCCTCCTTTCTATTTTTCTTTGTTCTAGTAGGTGGTGAAAAGCTGCCATATGTTTGAAGGTTTCATTCATGACAAAATAATTTGTCCCATAGCTGTGTCATGAGTTTTTTTTTCAACAAACATCATCAATGACATAAACTCTGTCCTCTAAGTCTCTTTTACTTCACCAGTTGATATTATAAATATTT